GGCCGCCGCGCTGCTCCGTCTGGCCGCGAGCGCTGCCGCCGCAGGACACAGTACTCAGGCCGCGTCCTCTGCCGCAACCCAGCCGGACCTGCTGCTCGTGTCGAGCGGGTTTGACGCGGCGCGCGGGCACCCCTCGCCGCTCGGCGGCTACCAGGTGTCGGCCGCCTGCTTCGCCTGGATGACACGCCAGCTGATGACGCTGGCCAACGGCAAGGTCAGCAGGGGACGGGGGTGACCGGCCCGCCCCGCGCCCCGCCCCGCCCCGCCGCGCCCCGCCCCGCCCCGCCTGGCGCCATGTAGAATGTCAGGGAGGTTCCCTGGACATCTCGTTGATATGCAGATTGGATGACAAAGTTGTTGGGATAGGGGTAGATAAATCGGTCAGTAGGATAAGGATGTTAGCCATGTCTCAGCCGTTGAACATTGTCTGTTGACGGAAAAGCGTTGCATACTTGGAAATGTGCAGTGTTGTTACCACGGCAAGACGTGTGCTGGGAAGGCTGGAGACTTCGAGCATTAAGTTCGGAAGAACCTAACTGTGGAGATGTGGGAATCAATTGGACAACAGTGCACCGCCCTCCTGAGTTTATTAGGCCGCCGCGGCACGACCAGCCTGCTTAGATTATAGTCGTGCCGTTATAACCTGCTATAACCCGTTGACCCGCTCATGAGTGTGCGGCTGTCGGGTAGATAGCGTTGGACTGGGGCTGGCATTCGGCTGCCAGACAACTCCGTGTTTGCCAGGTGGCGCTGGAGATTGAGAACTTGTGGCTCTGTGTTAGCCAGGTGGCGCTGGAGCTGGAGGACTTACGGCTCAGTATTGGCCAGATGGCGCTGGCGTTGGAGGCCTGACGGCTCTGTTGGCCAGGTGGCGCTGGAGCTGGACGGCTGATGGGTCTGTGTTTGCCAGGTGGCGCTGGCGCTGGAGGGCGGGTACGAGATCAGCGCCATCTGTGACGCCACGGAGCAGACGATGCGCGCCCTCCTCTCTGATGAGGTGCAGCCCATCAGCGACGAGGAGCTCAGCAGAAAGCCGTGCCAGGCGGCCATCGCCACACTCCAGAAGACCATCGCCATACAGGTGAGCGAGCGCGGTCGCTTCCCGCCGCCTCCCCTCCCTCCCCATCCCCATCCCTGGGCGCCAGGGTCATCCAGACATCCATTCCTCAGTCCTAGGGTCTTCTGGGTAGTTTGGCGGGCGTGGCCGCTTCCCGCCGCCCTTTCCTCCTTCCCTGCCCAACCTCATCCCTCGACGCGGGGCTCATCCTTAGCCGCGCAGTGACTGGCCGTGTTTCCCGACTTGTCGTTGACATCACTATTCTGGTACCACCACCAGTCTCGCGCCTTCCATACATCTTCAGCCGTCATATCTGCCGCGGCTCGGACGCTGTGCGCTCGGCTCGGCGCCTTCTCGCCGTCTGCGATGCCGGGCTGTGCATGCGGCCGTGCGCGTGGGTCGGCGCCGGCGCTGACCGTGTGAGCTGACCTGCTGCCGGCGTGTCCAGGTGCCGCACTGGCCGTGCGTGAAGCGGACGGCTCACCTGGTGGCGCTCTCGCACGCCGAGGCGCTCAACGACCGCGACGCCGAGACGCTGTCGGCCATGGCCGGTCTGTCCGTCCACCACCAGCACCAGCACCAGCAGCAGCACCCGCAGCATCAGCAGCAGGCGGACGAGGCGGCCGTCGCCGGACAGCCGCCGCCCTGCAGGTTCGCCGCCCGCCGCGCCTCGTCTGCCAGTCGGGGGTTACGGCGGGCCAGCTGCGGACGCTGTGTAGCGTCGCCTGCCGCTCACCCTGGCAGGAAGGGCGGGCACCCCAAGAAATGGGACCCCGTGCCTCTGCTGACCCAGACGTGTGGTGGTTAACTCGGACGCGTTCACTGCTTCACTATCGGCACCTCGCCGTCGTCCCATGCTCTGATGCCTGTTCAGACGCCCTTGGTGTCCCCCGCAAGGTGCACGTGTTGGTATCTGTCTCCGGACCGTGGCACGGTCGTCCGCGCTGGCTCGAGCTCTGCGTCACTGGCCGAGGCGATGACCGACTCCGTGTGTGCCTGTCCCCAGGTCATCCCCGGCCCGTCCCGTCTCGCCCCACAGGAGGAGCCCATGGACCAGGACGAGGCGGAGGCCAAGTAAGCCCGGTCCGGACACCTGGCGGCAAGCGGTACAACTGGAACATTGTTTTGTGGTCGGTGCGCGGCGCTCCACGGTACCTGTGCCCTGTCTGTTGGAGCGCGTGTGTCGACGCGCCGGAGTGTGTGTAAGTGCGCGAGCGCGCGCGCGCGCCGCGCGATGCTGGTGAGGGCGGCGTCGGGGTCGTCCAAATTGGCCGTGATAGCGGGCTAGCGCGCGCCGAGTGCGGGTGGGCACAGGTGGCTGTCGCGCTGTGCAATGTTCAACAGAGGCCGCGGCCGCGGGCGCCGGCCGGCCGCACGCTGCCACGGCCGTGCGCGGCTGGCGCTCGCAAAATTGCGGCGCGGTGTTTTGAGATGAACTATTTTACGGTATGCATGTGGCTTCATTATTTGTATACATTCCACGTAGATGTACGTTCTAGTCAGCCGGCGGTGTCACGAGCCCCGGCTACAGACGGCGCCGCGCGCGCCCGCGAGCTGCGCCGACCGCCCGTCGCCACGTTATCTGTAGTTTGTTGGAACTCTTCTGATATTTGTTGTGGATGATTAATGTTTAGCTGTGCGTTTTCCGTTGGCCGCGCGCGCCGCCGGGCGGCACTGGCCGCCGAGTCGGTGCGTGTATTGGCGGAGCGCTGGCGCACGGACCGCGAGGGCGGCTGCTCCCCTGGCTCATCTCCAGCTGCCGGCCCCGGCCCCGACGCCTGGTCCGGCCCGGTCCGGTCTGGTCCGGTCTGGTCTGGTCTGGTCTGGTCTCCATATCTGTCCGTCCGCCGTCAGCACTCACGGCTGTCATGGTCTGCATCTCGTGTGCATCTCCTGTGCGCACTCTTCCTTGTCCCTTGTTTATGGATCAGTTATGTTGCCTCGTATTTCTCCTGCTTTTCCTGGCCGTCGTCCCCTGGTTCTTATTCACTTCCTTTGTTTATGATCTGTGTCCCCTTCATCTCCTCACACCTCTTCCTGTCCTGTTCTGTCCTGTTCTGGCCCGTCCTGTTCTGTCCTGTTCTGTCCTGACCCGTCCTGTTCTGACCCGTCCTGCCGTGTCCTGCCTCACACCTGGCCGGGTGGCCGAGCGCGGCCGCCGCCTCCGGTCCGGTCCCGGCAGCCGCACAGCTCCGGGTGCCGCCCCCCGCCCGCCCGCCGCCCACACGACACCGGGCCCGCACCCGACGGCCGAAGCTTATTTTTGTATGCACGGCCCACTCGCAGTGTCTGAGGTGTTTGTGCTCAAATACACATGGACTGCTTATAGTACCGGCTTTGGTGGGGCGGTCGCTGAGTCGGGGCGGTGCTGCGGCAAGCGCCGGCTGCGGTCAGGCCTTCTCCCGTGTGGCCGCCCCTCGGTATGGAGGGCTCCCTCGCTGCCGTGTGAAGTTAGGCAAAACGATGCACGTGACAGCGTTGCTATTGTTCGAGTGCATTTATTTATTGACAGTCCCGGAACCGGGTCCGAGTTAACCCAGCTGCCATTCAGTTTTGCATAACGCTCCAGAGCAATGGTGGAACGGGAAGTTATCGAATGACGGGTAATGCAGGGATGAATAGGCTGCATTTGATCCGCATTCATCCTGGGAGTGGGCATGCCTTACAGCATGCAAACCTGCCTTCAGTGTGAATGGTAAGCTGTAGGTGATATATAGGTTTCGAGTTGATTTTGTGAGGGCTCTGCCCCCCCCCCCCCTCCCAATGTTTCACATGCGCCCGAGTGGCCGGCTGATACCCTACGCGAGGGTGAGCGGGGTCCATTTGACATCTCCTGAGGTCTCGAAATCTAAGATAGGTGGAGATACCGAATTCACAGGCGGATTAACCTGAACGTGATTCCCAGTTATCCTAATTTGGGTTCCTAGATCACCACCATGGGGTCAGTATAAGGTCAAACAGGTCAAACCTCCGGATTGGTGTATCATGTGCCCTCAGACCATCCTCACGACAACTGCCATGAGCTGTTTTAAGCAAAATGTCACGAATCCCAGTGGAACCTTGTTTGACCTTAAGAAGGCTCGAGTAACAGCATTTCTACGAGATTGCTCCTGAAGTGCCATTCAATGAGCGTCAGGGGTTACGTTAGGCGGTTTGGTCCTAGAAACGATGGTTGACACAGATCATTTGAGGTCAACAGTTTACGCTAACCTTAACACGTGCCCGGGTAACCGGCTGGATACCCCTCGCTCGGGTGGGGGGGGTCAACTGGACCTCCCCCCTGAGATCTCGGGAACTAAGAAAGCTAGAGATACCAAATTTGCAGCGTGCATTGACCTGTATGTGAACTCACTTGGGTCAAAGTTTGAGGTTCCCAAGTCGTGATCTTCGGGTCACTTAAGGTCAAACAAGGTCAAATTCCAGGTTGGTCTCCAAAGTGCCTCCGGAACTTAGATAACTGCTTCTAAGCAAAATGTGGCATACTCATGGAAGGTCAGTGGACCTTGTTTGACCTTTTCGAGATCATGCTGACCAAAATCGTACAAGACCGCTCTGAGTTTTGCACTTGAATAAGCGAGAATGATTGCGCAGGCAGTATGTTTCCCAAAACAAAATATTAACCTGGGTCATTCCAGGTCAATGACCTATTCTGACCTCGAAAGAGTCCATGGCAGACTATGATGCGGTTCCTGCTGTCAATAAATTCGAGATGGGCACCAGAAACTATCCCATACAGCAAGACCTAGAGTAATAAAACAGATTGGTTTTGCCGTTGGGTCTGACGTTCATACTTGACCTTTGGTCAACGTGATTTGTTCATTCAATATCTGTGTTGTCTAAGAAAGCCTCCCAGAGATGTGTGGTGTCGCCTGACGCTCCGTTGTTGCATCAGATTGAACGATTCACTAGAGATTGACTTCGCTGAAACCGTAGCCTGACTTTGACCTGCCATGGGTCAGCGACCTTAGAAGATACATCTAGATTTTTGGTACCAAACGATTCGCTATCCAACTGTCGACAGCTGACAGCTATGCAAAATTGGGCGCGGCTACGCTACGCCGTTCGGAAACGGTCCTGGAAAAACCTTTGGGGGAGTCAATTTGACCCCCGCCGAGTGCGTGTTAAAAGTCCATGGAACGTGTCTGTTGCGTTCCCTTTCACTAATAAATTTTAAATGCGTGCTAGGAACTACCATGAGAAACCAAGCCCTGAGTAAAAAAAGAAGATAATTTTGACCTCGTTCTCACCTTCATACCTAACCCTAGGTCAATGGAAGTGGCTGCAATTTTAAATTTAATTGGTTTAGTGCCTAAGAAACTATCTCGGATATGCATGGCTTCGTCAAACATTCCGCTGTTGTATTACATTGAACGATTCCTTAAAATTGCGCTTCACTGCCAGCCGCGGCCTGATTTTGGCCTGGCACAGTGAGCGACTTACAGTGTACAACTAATTTTTACATCAAAACATTTTCTATTCAATTATCTACACATATGCAAAGTGTAGCGCCGCTACGCCGCGCCGTTCGGAAATGATTCTGGAAAAACCTTTGCAGGGGGGGGGGGGCAATTTAACACCCGCTCATCCGAGCGCGTGTGAAATGAGTGCGCTCTCAGTGTTAGCTTGGCTCATCTGCAATATTTTAGCGTGAATATTTCGAAAGTTAAGCAACAGGCTCATGAACACACCAAGGCTCTCTTTTTTGGTCCTTCGTAGTGGCGTGGCCATGGGGGTGCAGCAGGGTAGCTTGACCCTACAACCTCAAAATTATTTCTTTAAATGGGTGGTAACGTGAGACAACGGTCGTAAACTATGTTAAATTTTACTTTTTGTTGTGTCCGTCAATCGTAATCCAAGACGCCTTTCCCCTGGAACCTTACCGTGATATTGACCTGGTCTTGTGACACATTTACGGCAAGCCACACTTGGCATTCTATGGTGGGCCACGAACCTCATGTTGTTTTACTAGAAGTTGAGGCCCGCATTGTTTTGATGGAATATCTTGTGAGAAAACCAAATCGGGGTGGCATTGCGTTTTTGGCGCAGTATCGTTAGTTGAGATTATATTTTCAGTACGCCCCAAAACATGAAAAACAATACGGAAAATGAAAATTTTGCTGAGACAGATTTTTAATCTGGTTTCGTGCTGGACAAATTTATTACCAGCACTCCCGAACTACAATACCATGTTGGCAATGCCTGATCAAAGGATCCATTTTGCCTTAGTCGCAGGTCATGTGGCACCTCCACCGTGCCATGCGACTGCACGACCACCGGCCGACACTGTCAGGCCAACGGCTGAATGGCCCTCTTTGGCGATCCTTATACAAACACTTATTCGGGACGGTCAACCTATTAGCACGCCATTCGCCACACCACGAATGTGGTCAGTGTAACTTCAGCGCTCTACTCGAGTCGGGCTTCTACAGCAACGATTGGTGTGTTCGCGCGGCAATCAACTTTTTTGTGAGCGTTTTATACACCGCAGCCATCGGGTTGGGAGGAAGGCAGTGTCTGTAAACCGCACCTTCGCTATGCATTTTTGTTTGAAGGTATGACCTGTGAACCTGGAAAGCAGTCACGCGTAGAAACTCGGCTAAATGCAGGATATCATCAATTAGAACAGTGCCATTTATCCCTTAAACTTTACCCTAATGTTGCCCCGAAAGGGATGACTCATCTGAAGTCCTATGGCCAATGTGCTTTTGGATTGTGCAGGTGCGTTCTTTTACGATTGCAGAGAATTCAACGATCCTCGATGAAATCAAACTTTCGGATTGCAAGGGATCGCGACGCTGTGTGCGACGACGAATGATGCTATTTGAAATGCACGACACTACGCATTTAAGTCCAACTTTTTCTGTGCGCTGGTCATTTGCCGCTTTATCATGTTGACGAAGAACCAGACCACATGGAATTCAGATGACTTACATAATATGTCATAGATCCATTCAACGGAAACCTGCTCGCACCTCAGGCGCAAAACGACAATTTTAGTTATAAGCATGCATGTGGC